TTCTCTGTACCTCAGTTCACCCATTACTGTAATGTGGGTGTGTGCCTACAACCTACCTCCTAGGTTGGTCTCGAAAACTAAATATATCTTAAAATGTACCTGGCACATAAATATGAGTGCTGTATGTCTCTATATTATGCAGGTGTTAATGCAAATCAAGCAAACTGATGCATCGTGATGTGAAAACATGGCATGGAATATTGTTCAGTGAAAAAAGAAAAATTCACAGAGCAACAATCATAGCACTGTCCCATTTATGTTTTTAAGATCCTAATGACTAGATACATGAGTTATAGGTTGCATGGTGAGGAAGAACTTGACCTTTTTTTCTTAAATAAAAGATGTTTATACTCACTTCTTAGTTCAGGAGACACAGCGGTCACTTTGAAGCAGATTTTCTTTTACTTTTCACAGTAATGGCATATAAGACCTGGAGACCTGGGTGGCCGCAGGAGAAGGGTGCAGAAAGACCTTTTAAGTTCCATCAAAAGTTAACTCTGCCAAGAGCCCTTGGTAAACATAGCTGGTCGCTTGGGAAGGGCTGGGCAGACTGCATGGGGCTCAGGGAGCTGCCTGTGAGTGCTGACTTCTCCCTTTCTCAGAGTAACATGTTTAGGACTTCTCTGCCTGCTGTCGTAGCGTGATCATGTCAGAGGTCTGAAATACACTCCAGTGGTCCTGAGGGAAAAGGAGACTGGCTGGGTGGCAAAGCCTAGACACCCTGGTCTAGGGGTATGTGAGGATAGTCATTTTCCGGTCCAAGTGCAGCTGAGGTCAGAAGTCCATATGGACTAGCATCTTTCCAGAAGTCACACAGGTGAGTGTGGTCAAAAGTGAGTAATATTGGGATTTCTCTGGTGGTCTGGTGGTTAAGAATCTGTTTCAGTGGGTAAGACATCTAATAATTACTCTAATTTTGAGGTAAGCTACTATAGCAGTTATTTTTAATTGCCTAAGTATGCATCACTGTGAGGCAGGAGAGACATCCAAGAACGTGCTAGTCAGCAGAGGATGCCAACAAAGATTAAAAAGTGAAACAGCATAAGCCAAGAAATAGCTTAGAAAAGCTCTGTACAGGCAAAGCATGGCTAGGAACGGTGAAATTAAGTTATAAACTCCAGAACCAGGCAGGTTGGGTCATAACCCAACTCTGGATACCTACTAACTTTATGACCACGAGCAAGTTACTTAATTTCTCTGTACCTCAGTTCACCCATTACTGTAATGTGGGTGTGTGCCCACAACCTACCTCCTAGGTTGGTCTCGAAAACTAAATATATCTTAAAATGTACCTGGCACATAAATATGAGTGCTGTATGTCTCTATATTATGCAGGTGTTAATGCAAATCAAGCAAACTGATGCATCGTGATGTGAAAACATGGCATGGAATATTGTTCAGTGAAAAAAGAAAAATTCACAGAGCAACAATCATAGCACTGTCCCATTTATGTTTTTAAGATCCTAATGACTAGATACATGAGTTATAGGTTGCATGGTGAGGAAGAACTTGACCTTTTTTTCTTAAATAAAAGATGTTTATACTCACTTCTTAGTTCAGGAGACACAGCGGTCACTTTGAAGCAGATTTTCTTTTACTTTTCACAGTAATGACATATAAGACCTGGAGACCTGGGTGGCCGCAGGAGAAGGGTGCAGAAAGACCTTTTAAGTTCCATCAAAAGTTAACTCTGCCAAGAGCCCTTGGTAAACATAGCTGGTCGCTTGGGAAGGGCTGGGCAGACTGCATGGGGCTCAGGGAGCTGCCTGTGAGCGCTGACTTCTCCCTTTCTCAGAGTAACATGTTTAGGACTTCTCTGCCTGCTGTCGTAGCGTGATCATGTCAGAGGTCTGAAATACACTCCAGTGGTCCTGAGGGAAAAGGAGACTGGCTGGGTGGCAAAGCCTAGACACCCTGGCCTAGGGGTATGTGAGGATAGTCATTTTCCGGTCCAAGTGCAGCTGAGGTCAGAAGTCCATATGGACTAGCATCTTTCCAGAAGTCACACAGGTGAGTGTGGTCAAAAGTGAGTAATATTGGGATTTCTCTGGTGGTCTGGTGGTTAAGAATCTGTTTCAGTGGGTAAGTATCAGAACTCGATGAAGAAGTTAATCAATGGAAAAATAGATAGATCAAGATATTTTGACCCTGAAAAATGGTTTAACCTTACGATGTGTTTGGAACTCTAGCAGTTACAGACTAAATACGGCTATTTTATATTGCTTCAAAACTCTGGACCTGTGTGTGTGTGTGTGTGTGTGTGTGTGTGTTGTTTGTGTGTGCCCGAGCACAGGCAACTCAAAAGTCTCAGGACTAACAACATTGGCATTACCTGGCTGCTTGCAAAGTTGTGAGTCCAGTGATACACTGGTGAATGTTTAACATCTGGTTTTCTGGGGGTGGGGGTGTGGAGTGCCGGGAGAGCCCTAATTTTTAGCGTTTGCTGATTTCAATAGTATAAATGCTCCCACCTGGCCAATTTCAGCTCTCATGGTAACATCTCTGAATGTGGAGTTGGGAAGAATGTGTGAAGTGCTGAGTCAGAGCAGGCTGGCTCCAGCACACACGTCACTGCATGGGTCCCTGTCCCCTATTCACTGAATCAGAACCTTAGGGTTAGGGCTCCGGGGTCTGACTTTTAACAAGCTCTCCAGATTACTGTGATGCTCACAAAAGTTTGCAAAGCACTGAGTGTGTGTGTTGTCTGTAAAACCATCCTGTAGGCCGGCAGGCTCCTAGGTTTCCTGTGGAGGTAAAAGGAGTATCCGGGAGGATGCCCAAATGAGCAAGTTTGTTGAAGCCACAGGTTCTTCCACACAAAGGCAGTGTAGGGTCGTGTACTTCAATCTGAAAACTCATCAGGAACATTTACAGATTTCAAGGCACAAAGATAAAGAGCCCGGACTATACATTTGGAGAGAGCAGCTAAGAGAACAACTAAGATATGCGAGCATGAGAATAGGATTTGCCCCTAGTCAATCCCAGAATACCCAACGAGAACTACTCAGCCATTTTCCTGTGAGTTAGCTAAGAAATACATACAAAAATTAATCTGTATAAAATTTTATCAGTCAAGCACTGTAACCTAAATGCAATCTGTTGGCTAACAAACACATGAAAAGATGCTCAACATCACTCATTATCAGAGAAATGCAAATCAAAACCACAATGAGGTACCATTACACGCCAGTCAGGATGGCTGCTATCCAAAAGTCTACAAGCAATAAATGCTGGAGAGGGTGTGGAGAAAAGGGAACCCTCTTACACTGTTGGTGGGAATGCAAATTAGTACAGCCACTATGGAAAACAGTGTGGAGATTTCTTAAAAAGCTGGAAATAGAACTGCCATATGACCCAGCAATCCCACTTCTGGGCATACACACCGAGGAAACCAGATCTGAAAGAGACACGTGCACCCCAATGTTCATCGCAGCACTGTTTATAATAGCCAGGACATGGAAGCAACCTAGATGCCCATCAGCAGACGAATGGATGAGGAAGCTGTGGTACATATACACCATGGAATATTACTCAGCCATTAAAAAGAATTCATTTGAATCAGTTCTAATGAGATGGATGAAACTGGAGCCCATTATACAGAGCGAAGTAAGCCAGAAAGATAAAGACCATTACAGTATACTAACACATATATATGGAATTTAGAAAGATGGTAACGATAACCCTATATGCAAAACAGAAAAAGAGACACAGATGTATAGAACAGACTTTTGGACTCTGTGGGAGAAGGCGAGGGTGGGATGTTTCAAGAGAACAGCATCGAAACATGTATATTATCTAGGGTGAAACAGATCACCAGCCCAGGTTGGATGCATGAGACAAGTGCTCGGGCCTGGTGCACTGGGAAGACCCAGAGGGATCGGGTGGAGAGGGAGGTGGGAGGGGGGATCGGGATGGGGAACACATGTAACTCCATGGCTGATTCATGTCAATGTATGACAAAACCCACTACAATATTGTAAAGTAATTAGCCTGCAACTAATAAAAATAAATGAAAAAAAAATGCAATCTGTAAATGGCTTAAATAGCACATGATAGACTTTGTCACTGACTGAAAAGTGATCGAAGCATCAAATCAGTAAAGTTTAGATCTCCAAAACTGAACTAGACAGAGAGAAAGTCAACATTGTTTGACTTACTCTGATTATGCATATGTGGTGTAGTGTATGAATTTTTAACTTTTAAATTCCTGAAATTACAAAGAAAACACATTTTGGTATTGTGGCAAAAAAAAAAAAAGCACATGGAATTTACCATCTTCCCTATTTTTAATGTACATTAGCGTTCACTATATACACATTGTTACACAACAAATCTTAGAATCTGTCCTCTCACAAAACTGAAATTCTTTACCCATTGACCAAGGATTTCCCTGTTCCTCTCCCCACAGCCCCTGAGAATCACCATTTACTTTCTGTTTCTAGGTACTTGACCGCTTAGGGTGCCTCACAGAAGTGGAACCATGCAGTATTTGTCTTTGCGACTGGCTTATTTCACTTAGCATAAGGTCCTGAGGGTTCATCCATATTGTCGCATACAGCAGGATTTCCTCCTTTTTTAGGACTGAGTCACGTTCCATGGTATGTATAAAATGTATGTAGATTGCTCCCAGCTCTCGACTTCTACGACTCATGCTTCAGTGAACAAAGGTGTGCAGACATCTCTTTGAGAACCTGTTATCAATTCTTTTGGCTATATGCCCCAAACTAGGATGGCAAAACACATTATTATAATTATGATTCTTAATGACTCAATAATAAATAAAAAATTTTAAAAGTCATAGTTAGACACTTGTTGAAAATTGACAAATTCTCTATGCCTGTACAGAAAACAATGTTAAGCATTGGAAAAACAAAGAAGTTTAAGACAGTCTCTGCCCTCGAAGGGCTTAGAGTCTCACTGGTGGGGAAATACCAATATATATATATAAAATGACAGTCATTTAAACTAAAAAATAAATGAATTCCTCTCATCTCTTGCAGGTACAAGTACATATTGGTCAAACCTCTTTGGAAAACTATCTGGCAGCCTCCACCAAAACTAAAATGTGATAACCCATGACCCAGCATTTCTATCTTAGGTATATACCCAAGAGAAATGAGTGCATACATACACCAAAAGACATGCATAGAATTTTAAAAGCAGCTTCATTCACATCAGACAGCATTATGAAAACCAAAGTTTTCTGGGGGAATAGGAGATTGAATGAATAAATGGCTGTAAATTCTTACATTGAAATATGATAGAGCAATATAAAAGATTATCCTGCTCCTATATGCAACCACATGGATGAATTTTACAGATGTAATGGTAAGTGAAAGATGCCAGACGCACATGAATAGCTACTGAATGATTCCAAGGTCAAAAATAGGCAAAACTAATCTCTGGTGGTAGTAAGTCGAAGAGTGTATGACTTTGAGGAGGAAGGAGGCAACTTCTGGATTGCTAGAAAGGTTCTGTATCTTGATTTGGGGTGTAGTTATGGCTCAGCAGGTAAAGAATCTACCTGCAATGCAGGAGGCACAGGAGACATGTGTTCGATCCCTGGGTTGGGAAGATCCCCTGGAGAACGAAATGGCAACCCTCTCCAGAATTCTTGCCTGGAGAGTCCCATGGACAGAGGAGCCTGGCAGGCTACAGTCCATGGGTTGCAAAGGGTCAGACAAGACTGAGCCACTGACAGACACACACACACTAGTATATATCTATGTAACTATTTATCAAGCTGTAGATTTTTTTTTTCTGTATGTATGTAGTACTGAACATTCTAGTAAATTAATTCAGAGGAAGACATGTTAGGGGAAAATGAAAAAGTCAGAGCAGACTTCAAAGGAGTGGTAAGAACTGAGCTGGTAGAATTGAACTGCACGAAGGAGGTCAGTTCAAGCAAGAGAGATGAGACCCAATAAGCTCACAGCAGCACAGATGTCCAGAAAGCTTAGGAAGCCCCTGTGGTTGTCTCTCCAACACCCATCTCCCCTTCCCCTCACCCCCCCCATAATAAGCCTTGCGAGTTGGGTGGGGTTGGCTTCAGCTCAGCTCCAAATGTTATTCACTCAGCTGTGTCCCACTCTTTGCAGCCTCATGGACTGGAGCCCAACAGGCTCCTCTGTCTGTGGGATTCTCCAGGCAAGAATACTTGAGTGGGTAGCCATTCCCTCTTCAAGGGGATCTTACTGACCGAGGGATTGAACCCGCATCTTCTGCATTGCAGGCAGATTCTTTACTGCCTGAGCCATCCTGGGACACAAGGTGTGAGAAGGTGATTAGCTTTCTTTCCTGCATCATGAATGCCTTTGCTAGGAAATGAAGCCTATCTATGCAAGCAGTTCTTTTACCCAACTATTTTTGCTGGTAACGTAGCACAGACACACTATATTGTGTATATACCTCTGAAACAGACTTTGTGAAACAACATGTACTCCTTTTTTTAACTTCTTTATTGGAGTACAGCTCCAATATATATACTTTATAGTGGAGGATGGCTGATTAACAGTGTTGTGAGAGTTTCAGATGGACAGCAAAGGGACCCAGCCCCACATGTTCACGTGTCCATTCTTTCCCAGACTCCCCTCCCATGTCGGCTGCCACATAACACTGAGCGGAGTTCCTTGTGCTATAACCAACAGTAGGTCCTTGTTAGTTATCTACTTTACATGTAGCAGGACATACATGTCGACCCCAGACTCCCTAACTATCCCTTCCCCTACTCCTTCCTTCCTGGTAACCAAAACCTCCAAAAACACTTACTTTTAATTCATGCAATGTATATCAATATTTTCTGTTATTCTGTTTCACTTCAAACAACAAATAAAAAGTTGATCAGAAACCACTAAGTCAATTTCATGCCCTTAAGGAGTTGAGACTTGCAATTTGAAAAAGGTGACATGAAGGCATAGTCTATGTTAATCATTGGAAAATATTCTAACGCTTGCTTACAATCATTGGATGAGCACTATGCTAAGTGTTTTCATTAACAAAATTATATTTAATCTGTTATGGTAATTTTATGATAGACTGCTATACCCATTTTGTGGATGAAGAAACTGAAGCTTCAGGCACAACAAATTTCCTGGGATCACACGACTACTGTATGGCAGAGCTGAGACTTAAACACAAGTAGAACCTTCTGCTTATAGCTCAGTGACATGTGCCGTGGCTTTATATCACAACCAACAGCAGAGAAAATGTGCACATTCTGGACTTTTAATCTTGCAGTACAGAGAAGGGCTTCCAGGTGGCTCAGTGGTAAAGAATCCTCTGGCCAATGCAGGAGACGCTGGCGATGCTGGGTCAATCCCTGGGTCGGGAAGATCCCCTGGAGGAAGAAATGGCAACCTACTCCAATATTCTTGCCTGGAAAATCCCGTCAACAGAGGTGCCCGGCAGGCTGCAGTTCACAGGGTCACAGGAATCGGACACGACTGAGTGAATGCATACACACAGCGAACAGAGCACCAGAGAAAGGACAACATACTCTGTGCAACACCTTCACTTATTCTCTGGAACTCTATTCCTGCCCCATCATCCCAATCTATTAAGGCTCTCAAAAATGACAACATCCTTAAAACAGAACACTCTAAACTATGACAGAGAAAACAGTTTTATGATTAGAAAGACATCTTCCAGAAAGCTGGCCCTATGTATTTTGCGTTCTCTTTAACAAAACTCCATGAACACCAAGAATGAAAGTGTCGTGTTTTTTTTTTTTAATCTTTCCTTTTCCAACCCTCCCCCCAAATAGCTAAAATAGGTAAAATACAAATTCTGCTGTGTTATGTGCCTGGCTACAATAAGGAAAGTGTATTATTTTAATCTGTTGTCCTACAACTTTATTTCCAAAGTTGCTTGATTTTCTGGGACACTTCTGGAAGAATCATTCAGTTCCATAAAGGATCAGCCACTTGCCAAGCTGTGTGCTCAGTCATTAAGATAAAAAGAACTATGCTTCACCTTTATAAAGGGAACACATACTGAAACACAGAACATAACAAATCAAAACCTTCACAACAGTGGGATCTAGGCACAAATAGTTGTAATAGGTGCAGCCGAAAGACCTAAGGACTAAATAGTAATTCTAGGAAAGCAGAATTTTTATTTCACCTACTTTCAGATGTTTTGGGGGTTTGGAGAAAGGAAAGGGAAAAAAATAAAATTGACAACCTTTTGATTTTAGCGTTCACAGAGTTTTGGTGATTTAAAGAAGACTCAGAAGATTTACTACTAGCCTTCTAGAAGGTTTCCTCCTAGTCATAAACCATTTTCTCTGTTACAGTTTGTGTGTTCTATTTTAAGCACTATGGCATGGTCTGAGGAACTTGCATATTGGGAGAATAGGGCAGGAATAGAGCTCCAGAGAAGAAATGAAGATGTGTAGGACACATTTTGTGTGTATCCTGGAGGGCTCACCTTCCCTGTGTGTGCTGCAAGTTTAAAAGTTCAACCGAAGCTGTCTGCCAAGGCCGGGCACATGGGCATCTTCCTCAATCCCTGGTCCAGGAAAATCCCACATGCCGCGGGGCTCAGTCTGTGTGCCACATCTACTGAGCCTGCAGAGCCAGAGCCTTTGAGCTCTAGAGTTATGCAATTATGCTCTTGGGCTCTGCAACGAGAGAAACCACTGCAAGGAGAGAATAGCCCCTACTCGCTGCAACTAGAGAAAGCCTGCATGCAGCAGTGAAGACCCAGCACAGCTAAAAATAAGATTAAAAAAAAAGAAAAAGTTCAACCTAAGCAGATCTTGTCCTCACGCAGTTGGCTGAGAACTCCAGCCGCAGCACGTCTCACTGAGTCGTCAGCAAGAGCATGGTCTACCTGTGCTTAAGTCTCAGCTCTGCCACATAACAGCTGTGTGACCTCAGGAAATTTGTTGTGCCTCCAAGCCTGAATTTCCTCATCCCTAAAATGTTACAATAGTTAAACAATACAACAACTATAACAATGGCACCTTTATTGAATTTGTAATAATGAAGAGGCTCTGTGGTTTGGCAAATTGAGGCAATTATCCTTGCTATCTTTAGGGTCTAGGATTCAGATGACAAGGGATCAGTGGTCTGTTGCAAATCAAACTGAATATTTACCAGCAACATTTACCAGCAGTGAAATCAAGCTAAAAGTGAAACCTTAAGGGAAACTAATTTGAAGTTCTTCAGTTCTTCATTTGCTTATTTATTTTAAAAAAACTTCCCAGGTAGCTCAGCTGGTAAAGAATCCACCTGCAATGCAGGAGACCCCGGTTCGATTCCTGGGTCAGGAAGATCCGCTGGAGAAGGGATAGGCTACCCACTCCAGTATTCTTCCCTTGTGGCTCAGCTGGTAAAGAATCCGCCTGCAATGCTGGAGACCCAGGTTTCATCCCTGGGTTGGGAAGATCCCTTGGAGAAGAGAACGGCCTAGAGAATTCCACGGACTGTATAGTCTACGGGGTCACAAAGAGTTGGACATGACTGAGTGACTTTCATTTTCATTTTCATATAAATAAATATATAAATATATATATATAAAGTGAAGTCACTCAGTTGTGTCTGACTGTCTGCGACCCCATGGAGTGTAGCCTGCCAGGCCCCTCTGTCCATGGGATTTTCCAGGCAGGAATACTAGAGAATACGAACAAAAGGATCCCAAGTGGGAAAGTTTCCATTAAGGACATCAAACTGATTTGATGTCAGAGACTAATAAGATGGTGTACTTACTTTAGACAGAATGGCTAGGAATGTCTCCATGAGGAGGTAAGGTTTAAATGGAGACCAGAAGGATGACAAGGAGTCAGCGTGTGAACAGCCAAGGGAAGGAATCATGGGACAGCAGGTGCAAAGGCCCTGGGGTATGTGGGACTGTGTGTGTACTCTGAGGCTCTGGTCTGCTTTCATACATGCTGCCTGGCTCCCTCCCCTTCTGTCCCGACAGCTGCTTTTCTGACTCAGCCTTGCAGTATGTTTGGGGTTCCAGTTTGGGGTCCTGGATGGATGTGCCCTTTTGATACATCAACCTAAAAATATGCTGGAATAGCTCTCCTTTACCTCACGTCTGCCGCAGGCTGTGTCTTGCTCACCGTGACTTCGCCATTCAATCAGGACTGCCCTTGACATTTATAACATTCTGATTTCTTTGCCTCTGTTTTTGCCTCAGGTCCTGAAAGACTAGCTGCATAAGGAAGACACTCAAGAATTATTTGCTGAATTTTGAGATAAACTTCATTAGATCATCAGAGATCCAAATTTTTTGTTTGTGGTTTTTTTCCTACTTAATTTTAACATGGGCAAGATTAAGAAGGAGCACACGGGATGAAATTGAAGGAGAATGGTGTAGCATTCTGGACTGGCACTCAGTTCCCGGATGGCTACTTCTGGTTCTGCAACTCATTAGCAATGTGACCTTGGACGAGCCATCCTACTTGAGCCTTAAAATCTCCCACTAAAATGAAGGGCTGGGTCCAAGCACCCTTCAATGACTGTTCTTTTCTATGACTCACTGGGTTTCAATATTTGCCAAGCCTTCCATACTCCTGTGAAAGAAGCATTATCTTCAGGCATCAACTCAGTTTATACAATAATGATATCTTACACTCCATTGGAATTTGTCATTTGCAGATCACTTTCATCTCCACCAGCACATTTGATTTTAACCAGTCATGTAATGTATTGAGGACAATATAATTTTTTATGTCTGACAGGGTTTGAAACTTGCCAAAGGTCATAACACACTGTTCATGTTCATGGGGTTCTCGAGGCAAGAATACTGGAGTGGTTTGCCATTCCCTCCTCCAGTGGACCACACTTTGGAACTCTCCACTATGACGCATCCTTCTTGGGTGGCCCTCTATGGCATGGCTCATAGCTTCATTGAGTTATGCAAGCCTCCTAGCCACGACAAGGCTGTGATCCAAGAAGGGGAAAGAAAGCAAAAGGAGAAGAGCCTGGTGGAGAATGAGATGGTTAGATAGCATCACCAACTCAAGGGACATGAATTTGAACAAATTCTGGGAGACAGTGAAGGGCAGGGAAGCCTGGAGTGCTGTAGTCCATGGGGTTGGACATGACTTAGCGACTGAACACACACACACAGACACATAACACATGAGAAACAGGAATGACAACTGGATATACTGTCCTGACTATGTGTGGTACAATAAACTGGATAGAAATAAATAGAAATAGAAATAGAAATAAATAGAAATAAAATCTCTATTATGTGGGAGTGGAACAAATTGTTTACGCCTTGAATAGCAGTCAAAACCCTTTTTTTTTTTTTTTAATGTTAAGGACTTGAAATGCTGAAATCCAAAGCTTTTATTTTTTATTTTTCCTAGTTGAACTCTTTAGTTGTAAGGATCAGAAAAGTACTCAGTTTGGCTCACTTAGGTTAGGAAAGCTGAGCACTGCAAGAGTCAGCTTTCTTAGGAATAGGAGGAAAGGTAGTCTTCAAATAATTGAGAAAAGATATCCAGACATGTCTTCCTATGACTAAACTGATTTTCTCAGAACTTCTGAGACCTTTCCTTCTCATTTGAAGAACAGTTTCCTCTGCTTACTCATGATTCTTATTTCCCCATAACCACAGTTCTCACATGGCTTGGCTTCCTGACACTAGCTCTGGCCAGCTGACCCAACTTGTCAGATCCATCACTCACTATAGACCCCTGTCAATCTCTTCTTCCTTTAGTTCCTGTGGTCCAATCAGTGGGGGCTGTTGGGGGTGAGTCAGGAACGAGTCATGTGACACCTTCATCAAATTCTACCTCTTTATCAGGATTTATGAACAGGTTCCTAGAGGAGGAATTCTATAGATGATAGAGCAGGCATCCCAAAATATGTCTCCTGCATTTCCCTTTTAATCTAAGTTTCACATGATTCTACTGAGTTTTCTTTTCTAAAGTGCCTCCAATCTTCGTAACTATACCCTATTTTTTTCTTTTCTCATGGCTCTGGCTTAGAGGCCATAGATTATTATCTGATTGCTTTTTTCATGTACATTTAAAATTAATTTTCTCAATACCTCAGTAGGTGAGTGATGTTAACATGACATATTCAAAGACATCTAGAAGCCAGGAGTAAAAGTGAGCTAGATCAGGAAAAAAACCAAAACCAGTTTCAAATCTGTCCCTTGGTTAAAATCAGAAGGGTAGTTGCACAGTTTTCTGTAGGGTACAGTTAAAAAAAAAAAACACCAAATACAAAAACCACTAGCCAGCAACTAGGTGCGTTCAGGTCCTAGATCTGATTCTATCATTGATTTCTGGACACATCATTTATTCCCCTTGAAATTCGGGGGAAAGGGGAGTCTTAAAACTGGAAGGAGTTTTATGGCATTATCTAACCTGGTCTCTGCATTTTACAAAAGATTTTTACAAAAGACATTTTGCAATGTCTGCAAAAGACATTGATATCACGACTTATTGATTAGAGGCAGAGCCAGTAAAATACTTCTCTTAAACTTTTGTGATCTTTTTATTACATCATCTCAGTTGAGAAGGATAATGCTTGTGATTATGCAGCATATAGTAGTGTCTAAATGTAAAATTTTATTTTAAGATGAGGACATGGGGATGGGTATAGAAGACAGGAATCTGCACAGTGTGTGCAGAGACAGGAAGCAATCTATAAATGCTCCAATTGCTGTTCTCCAAAAACTTAGATATAAACAAAAAGATCATCGTCATTGCCACAAAATCACATCAGCAAATGGAGATTACGACATTCCCACTGCCAGATTGTATGGGAAGGTGGTTGGATGTGAACTCTGATTGTAGACTGCCTGCCATCAAAGGTGGGTTCTATCACTTAATAAAGTTGTGTAATTGAGGCAAGTTTGTACCATTTACTCAGCGGCTCTGGGTCCAGAAGTAACACAAACTCCAGAGTCATTCTCCAATATTTGAGAAATTCTTAGGACAGTGTTTGGCACAGAGTAAACTCACAACGTAAGTGTTAACCTATAATTATTATTACTTGCTTTTTTCTTCGGTGGGAGGGCTAAATGCTATTCTTCTGGAGTACAGAAATCTCCATTTAAAATCCCAAGGGCTAGATTAGAGATATCAGTTGGCTTAGTGAAGAATTAGAGATGGAAAGAGAAGATTTCTTTCCGGGCATCTCCGTCTTTATCTTTATCCCTTTAATTCTTATTAAATTCATAAAGCAGCCATTTGCTATTTGCATTCCACAGACCAGAAAACTGCCTAGAAGACTTTCTCCGCCAGAACCCCCCCACTGAGTTAGTGGGTCACCGAATAAAACTGGGACTTGCCCAGAGGTCCAGCAGTTAGGACTCCATCCTGTCACTGACGCTGGTGCAAGTTCAATCCCTGGTTGGGGAAGCTAAAATCCCACAAGCCCGGGCCACGGCCAAAAAAATCGATCTAAGTCTACAAAGAAATAGACGAACGTCTTCTTCAAGTGGAGACTTCCTGGACTTAGAGTTCTCTTTGCCAGGAGCCTAGGGAAAGGTGGGAAAGCGGGTGGTGCAGGCGAGGGCCCACATCCCTCTCCAAGGCCAACGAGCTGCATCCTGGCTCATCGGCCTCTTTCCACGCCAGTCAAGCTTCGCTAAGAGGACCGGCTCCACGCTGAGGGAGGACCAGACTCCGGTTTTCCGTCGAGGAGGCCGCCGTGGCCTCTCCCGGCCTCCCACTCCCAAGTCGCCCTCAGGGGATCCGACTTCTTGAAGCAAGTCTACGGAGTTTAATTCCTTCATTTCTTTAGAAACCAGACTTTGGGGTCAAAAGACAGAGAAGGGCAAGAGCTAGGAACAAACAGCAGCGCGCAAGAGCACAGGGCCCGCGGAAGGCCCTGGCCTCGGGTACCCTTGCGGTCCGGCCGCACGCGCGACGCCCGTCCGCACACCGCCGCCCGCCTCCCTTCCCGGAGGAGGCGTGGCCCGCACGCGCCGCCATCTTGGCGGCCTCTCTAGGCGCTCTGTTTACTACTCTATGGTCGCCCGCTCCCGCCCCGCCCCTCCCCAGTCATTGTCTGGAGGAGCCGCGGCGGCCGCAGCGCCTTCTCTTTATAAGCCCGCAGTGCCCGGATGTGAATGGATTACAATGTATCTTTCAGGGAAACCTATTATTATCAATGTGACTCCACGGGGGAGTCAATGGTGATGATCAGGAGAAGGAGCAGGATGAGACACCTCTAAACTTGGAACAAGTTTAAGACTTTATAAGAGGAGAAGAAAAAAAAAAAAGCCACCAACAAGATTTGTCTGAGGAAAAATTATCACTATCCTGTGTTGATATTTTTTTTTATAAACAATAAGAAAAAGTTGTTGGATTTTTTTTTTTAATGATTTCTTTTTTGGGGGAGGGAGTTTTGTTGCAGTTTTATGGTGGAAAATGCAAAAACCAGAGCCAGGTGCATAATCTTGTATTCTGTGGATATCCCTGGAACAGAACAGTTAAAGTACTTTTTTGGGGGATACACATGTGAGATACTCAGTACTTGCAGAAGATTTTTGTCTCTCTTTTTAAAGTCACTTTCCTTGGAATATTGTGAGCATTTTTGTGGCCACTTAAGGTAACGTTACAATTTGCTGTCAGAGTAAACTGTTTGTAATTTAATTTAATTTTTAAAATGTCGATCCCAGTGTTTTATTAAAACAAAAGGAACAACCTATTAAATTACTGCCAATGGGAAAAAGTGTGTGCATGCGTTTTGTGTATGTACTCGCACATCTAGCCATAACAGGGTTTATAGAATGTGTATTTTAGCACACGTTAAAATAGCGTCTGTTGCATATACTGACTGAAGCACGCTTGTTATTACGAAACGGTAGAATTATGCAGCTTAATTTTCATCCTAAAAAGTGATGTGAAAAAGTATGTTTTAAGAGCATGCAGGGCCTGTAATGGTCAATGTTGAATGAAAAACTTACCGTGCTGGAGAACGGGGACTTAGCGTGCCTAGGAACTCAAGTGTAAAAACAAAACAACATCTACCCTCAAAAATTGCCTTTTTTTTTTTGCAAAGTTCACAGCTATACTATTCTGTGACTTAAAAGGGAGGGGTAAAAAGAAAAAAGTATGTAATTTGGGTTTCGCCTCTCCCCCCACCCCCCTAACGCAGAACTACCGATAGGAAAATCTCCCCAGTAAAATGTAGCTTGGTTTGTATCTGGAAAAGAAAGAAAAAAAAATATTGTTCCTCTTGGCAAAGTCTTTTTGCATCACGTGTATTTGCAGCCTAGTATAAACTTGCTTTACCGTGTGTGGATGTGTGAGTGAGGGAACGGGAGAATCAGAGAAAGAAAGAAGTGAGGGGACGTAAAGTGGAATCCGTTTCAAAGTGTGCCTCGGCTGGATGAAACGGGCAAAAAAAAAAAAACAAACCAAAACCCTGAAGGGTGCAGGCTTCAGATTGTAACTGACGATCTGAGGGAAAATGAGGTGCTCGGTGAAATTTCGTTTGTATTTTTTTTTTTTGGCGAGGCGGGGGAGGTGTGGAGATGATTTTTTTTTTTTCCTTCTCTTTCTCGGGGGTGGGGTGGCGGCGGGCGGGGGTCCGCATCCCAGCCAGCCCGACCCGCGCGCGCCGCGTCGCCCCGCCGGAGCCGCCCCCCCACCCATTTCTTTGCTGAACTTGCAATTCCGTGCGCCTCGGCGTGTCTCCCCCTCCCCCTCCGCCCGTCCCCTCCCCTCCCCGGAGAAGAGAGTTGGTGTTAAGAGTCAGGGATCTTGGCTGTCTGTCTGCGGAGCTGTAGTGGCGGCGGCGGCGGCGGCGGGGACCGAGCGGGCGCGGGCGGCGGCGGCGGCGGCGG